CGGTGTCCTCCTGGGCAATGTCACAAATGTTTACTGCTCGAAAACTAAGACTATCCACATTTCATGCTCTAAAGGAACTGAGATGAGAAAGATTAAGTCACTTGTCAAGGTCACACACTTCCGGAAGAGCTAGAATTTAAGCCAGGCAGTCTGACTCCACAGATCATGTGGGTGGTTGCCCCCAATTAGGTACAATTTATCCATTACCTGTAGATAACAAAGTACACTTGTAATTCAATGCAGATGATCACAATCCAAATAAAAGATTTCCTGAGGTCTAATTTCAGGCATCAGAGAACTGAAACAAACGATGAGAATACCTTGAGGCATATTTTGTGAATGGACCTTTATGAGGCCTTCCAACTTTGAAAGAGTTAAATCTGATCCAATGAAAGACCATCACCTGTGGCTGAAGGCAACCCGTCAATCCAAAGAAAGACTACACTTCAGTACGATTTTATTAGAAGCTTGAAATTGCCTGTTATTATTTACAATTTCCTACTGTTTGTGAAGTTCTAACTAGAGAATTCACATAGGACCAAGCCAGGATTGAATTTTAAAGAGACAAATAACCTAAAATGGGCACCTCTCCCCCAAGAATAATGGGTTAGAGGATCCAGAAACAGACCCAAATAAATTAAGGAATGATGCTGAGACAACTAGTTAGGCATCTGGAGCCTGATCTTAGTGTAGTCACCAAAATAAATTCTAGGAGGAACAAAAATTTAAATATAAAAACAAACTATGGGTGAATTATCTTTTTAAACATTGAAATTTACAAAAAGCCATTCAAAGCATAAGACCCAGAAGAATACAAAGAAAGAGCAATAAATTTGACTACATAAATATTAAAAACATGTCCATGGTGCAAAACAACAACAACAACAACAACAAAAAACGGTGGCTACCAACAAATTAAATGACAGATACACTGGCAGGAAATATTTGCAACATATTTGACAAAAGGACTAATTTCCTGAATATATAAAGAAGTCAGACAGATTAGTAAAAATGATCAACAGCCCAACAGCAAATGGCAAAAGACATAGAAAGTTATTTTTAGGAAAAAATAATAATAAAAGAAATAAAAAGCCTCATAAACATGGAAAAAAATCATAAAATTGAAGAAATGCAAATTTAAAACAATGCTACACCATGTTTTACATCCAACATAAGAGACAATATAATGTAATGGTTAAAATTGATGGCTCTAGAGTCAGAATACTTGGGATTAAATGCTGGCTCTACTCCTTACTGTGTATGCCCCAGTTTCCTTGGCTGGGGTGGTTATAAGAACCAAATGAGAAAATGTAATAAAAAGCAATTAGAACCGTGGCTGGCATATAGTAATTATGTTCATTCTTATTATCAGATTGACAAAAACAGTAAAATCATGAGTAGTAGTGTTGGAAAGAGAAGACTGGGCCTCTCAGATACAGTCAGAAGATGTATAAACTGGCACAATGTCTTTGGCAACTTGCATTCTAATTGCACAAGCCATTTGACTTTGCAATTCACTTTTAGAAATGTATCGATCACATGTTCATAAAATTATAACCTATCTATATATATTCATAAAGATATACATATATATATATAGCTTTTCATTGCAAGACTGTCTATAACAGGGGCGCCTGGGTGGCTCAGTCGGTTAAGTGTCCAACTCGGTTTCCGTTCAGGTCATGGTCTCAGTTTCGGGAGATTAAGCCCCGTGACGAGCTCCCCACTCAGCGAGGAGTCTGCCTCCCCTCGCTCTCTTCCTCTGCCCCTCCCCCTGCTCACGCACTCTCTCTCTCAAATAAACAAATCTTAAAAAGAATGTCTATAACAACAACAGACTGGAAATAACCTAACTGATCATCCAAATGGAATAATATACTGTCATGAAAAAACATCCCCAAGATAGTAAAAAAACAATCACAGAACAATGTGGAGATTTTGCCACTGTTAGTGTTAGAATGCATAGAATATTTCTGGAAGGAGACACAAGAAATAGTAAAAGTAATTACTATAGTAATAGTAACAGCAATCGCCTCTGAGGAGCAAGACTGGGAGTTGAAGTCAGATGGAGATTTGCTTTTCATTAAACATCCTTCTGTAAAAATGGAATGATCCACCCCACGTACATTACTTTTTCCATTAAACAAAAACTAGTTGATTTTTAAAAATAAGAGTGCAGTCATCAGATAATCTTACAACTCTATCGGAAAACCATACCAGCTGAAGACAGAAGTTCTAAGAGAAATGCTGGTTGTTTGACTATCCCTGGCTTTGAGGACACAGTGGATGTCCTAGAGCAAAGTCCTTGGTTCTGAAGGTCATCACTCTAGAGTGCTGAGAACCACAGGGATACACAGGAGACCTCTTCCCAGACCTCACGTTCTCCGGCTGTTTCCCACGTGAGCCTACCGAACAAGGGCTGTTTTACCTCCCTCTCTCCAAGTGTAGGAGTGCTCTTATACTTGATGTGTCAGTTGGGATGATGACTTTGGGGGGAAAACAAGGACTGACAACTGTCCCCCTATAATGCTCTCTTGGTTCTCAATGATTTCTTTGAACAACTTACTTGTTTTTTCCTTTCATCTTCACATCCCATGTTATAAATAGACTTACAACTCATAAAGCAGTTTCACTTTCTCATTAATTCTGACAACCCAGGAGATGGATACGATAATGCCATTTTAGAGGAGTCTTGGAGGGGTTGCCCAGTCCCACCAATATTAGGTTTGTGTCCTGGCACCACCACTGAGCTCTCCAAACCTGGCGCTTTCCACAGCATCGCTTTCTCCATCCCTGCCCAGTCTCCCGCCACTGGCTCCCAATTCTACCTCACCCCTGCCAACACCACACACCTGTGGTCTTAGGCCCTGCGATCCTAGAGGGAGGGAGGAGACCGGAGTCATTCAAGGACAGAGGACAAGATACGCTTCTTCCTTCTGGGGATAAATCTGAGTCGCTTTTTAAAACATTGTTCCTAGGGGCGCCTGGGTGGCTCAGGCGTTAAGCGTCTGCCTTCGGCTCAGGTCACGATCCCAGGGTCCTGGGATCGAGCCCCGCATCAGGCTCCCTGCTCGGCCGGAAGCCTGCTTCTCCCTCTCCCACTCCCCCTGCTTGTGTTCCTTCTCTCGCTGTGTCTCTCTCTGTCAAATAAATAAATAAAATCTTTTAAAAAAAGTAAAATAAAAAAATTAAACATTGTTCGTTACTCTGAGAAAATGAAGAAGTGGACCCTATAACCTGAGTCTCACCAGTACCTACTATGCAGTGATACTGACCGGCCACCTCCCACTTTATCCCACATACCCTGTAAAGGCAGCTAAGTTATCTTCACAATATAAATGAGTCGACAGAAACTTAGAAGGGGAGCCAATCGTTTAACGTCACACGGCCCCCATGATGCTATGTCAAGTGAGGACTCCAACCCCAGCACCTGGCTCTCAAGTCCAGGGTACATTCCAGCACACTGCCCCCAAAACACAGCGCTTGGTGTTCCACGGTTTGTTAAATAGGGTAAGTTATGCTATTAAAAAGACAGGGCCGCTCTTCAGCTCATTTTTTCGTATTTATTTACTTTGTCTCTCGTATGTCTAAAATGAAAACAAACCTGAATTTCCGGGGAAAGGTTGGGGCAGTGTCATCCAAGAAAGTGAGTAACAAGTAGAAGGGGCAGGCAGGCCTGGAAGGTCCGCCTTCTGCAGTTGCCAGGCAACAAAGGTAAACAGCACGAAGTGGCAGGATCATGGCCACTAACTATAGTGCCAACCAGGTAAGCTCTTTTTCCATCTCTAACACTGAATTTTGCGTTTGGACTGACCCTCCCAGAGGATTCTGATTATTGAATGAATAGCTGAACGTGGGGTGAGATGGTATTTTTCACTTCTTTAGCTCGTCAGGGTAGAGAGGGCCCATGGACAAGCAAAAGGCCTCTCAGGGTTGTTTGCAGGATCTACGTAAGAGGTCAGCAGGGTTTTTTCTGTAAAGGGTCAAAGGGTAAATATTTTATTTTGGGGGCCATGTGGCAAAATCAGAGATGTTCTGTAGGTACTTAACAATAGCAAGAGAAAATATTTTTCCATAAATTTTTTGACAAAATTCGAAATATTGTAACCGTAATCTTTTGTAATACTAATGAAAAAATAGAATTCTTTTGGGATGAGAAAACACTTTACTTCACTGGGAGGAGTATGGAGTAGAACAGCAAAGCTACTGTTCCCTTTTATCAAATCAATTGCAAATACCCATCTGTAAAAACCATTCTTTGCTTTCTCAGGTCATCCCAGGACAGACAGGCTGATGGATTGGGCCCATGGGCCACATTTGCCCACCCCTGGTCTAGACCAGGACTGCCCAATAAAAAGATAATGCGAGGGCACCTGGGTGGCTCAGTCGTTAAGCGTCTGCCTTCAGCTCAGGTCATGATCCCAGGGTCCTGGGATCGAGTCCCGCATCGGGCTCCCTGCTCCTTGGGAGCCTGCTTCTCCCTCTCCCACTCCCCCTGCTTGTGTTCCCTCTCTCACTGTGTCTCTCTCTGTCAAATAAATAAATAAAATCTTTAAAAAAAAAAAAAGATAACGCGAGTCACAAATATAATTTAAACTTTTCTAGTAGCTATATGAAAAACACTAAAAAAAAAAAAATTAACCTTAATAATATATTTAACCTGATAAGTCTAAAATATTATTTCAATGTTTAATCAATATTTAAAAAGGTGTAATAAGATGCTCACATTCTCTTTTTTTGTACTAACTCTCCGAAATTACAAAGCACCTCCACTGGGACTAGTCACATTTCAAGTGTCCATAACCACATGTGGCTAGCAGCGCCATGTTGAACAGTATACATTTAGACCAAAAAATTACATCCCTTCTATAGTGAGTTAAAGCCTAGCTTGGCTGTTCAGGTCTTTGGTCCTCAACTCTAAAGAACTGTGCCTCGTCATCATTTCCTGGGCACGGGGGCACCTTCGAGCCTCACAGAGATTCTCATCTTTCTCTCCACAGTACGAAAAAGCTTTCTCACCCAAGTATCTATGGAACTGGTCTCCCGCCAAGCCAACAAAAGAGGTATTGTGGGGCGCCTGGGTGGCTCAGTCGTTAAGCATTTGCCTTCGGCTCAGGTCATGATCCCAGAGTCCTGGGATCGAGCCCCGCATCGGGCTCCAGCCCCGCATCGGGCTCCCTGCTCGGCCGGAAGCCTGCTTCTCCCTCTCCCACTCCCCCTGCTTGTGTTCTCTCTCTCACTGTCTCTCTCTCTGTCAAATAAATAAATAAAATCTTAAAAAAAAGAGGTATTGCATGTGCAGTGCTCCCAAAGCACCAGTTTCTGATTCTTTCCACCACGTTCTCTGTAACTCACTGGCACCTAATTCCTTTAGCCGCCTCTGAATTCCCATATCCTCCTCTCCCTCAGCCCTTAACTTGAACCCCTTGGATACCTTCAGTCTCTTTTCCACTCCATTTTCACAAGCAGTTCTCTCCTCACCTCTACCCAGAGAATTTCTTCCCATGAAGGCTACACTCAGATTATCGCCAATGATCGTGGTCATCTGTTGCCTTCGGTGCCCCGTTCCAAGGTGAGATACTGATCCCCACTCCTACTGAGGAAGGTAAAGAACTGGGGCACAGAACCGGAGTAACCGAGATGGGAGGTTTGCAATCTAGCACGGCCACTATCTGGAAATTAAAGTTCAATCTGATTCCCACTGCAACATGACTGCCCCCAAACTTCCAGCCAGTTTATCCAACACGATAGAGCTGTGCTTAGCACCCGGAATGCCTTAAACTGATGAATGAACGCCTTCACATGATGACACTTACGCAGTGAGTACTCTGCTAGACTTAGCCTAAGGACATGGAATTTAAGTTGAGCCATGAGAGTTAATGTTATGAAAAAATCAGGGTAACCTAAATGAGAAAGGGGGTAAAGGATGAGTGGGGAGACTGGGAGACTGTGCTTTCACTCTGATTTCATTACCATGCATCCCAAGGGTGAAGGGTGGAAGGAACACAACAGACCTGCCAATAGGCCAGTAGTTCTGGGAGAAGCCTGTTGAAGAACCTCGTCTTCTTCCTTTTAGGCAAGTCCTTGGGGATCTTTCATGGGTACCTGGCAAATGCCTCTGAAGATACCCCCTGCTCAGGTGACCCTGACCTCCCGTACAGTTGCTGGTGCTGCCTCCCTCACCAAATGGATACAGAAAAATCCTGATTTGCTCAAGGCCTCCAATGGGCTGCGTCCTGAAATCTTAGGCAAGGTATCTATTCCTCCCACCTAACCTCAAATCCTATTATCTGCATTTCTTTTGAATCTCAAAAATGCCTGTTATACCACCACTATCCCAGCAGGGGGAACCTTTAACCAATTCTGTCTTACCCTATCTAGTCCCTGTCTTCCGACACCTCAAGAGACGTGCTAAGGACATATTATCCCCCACAGTATAAAATGATCTGATCTGACCTTTTGTCCATGGTATAGGGAGAAAGGGAGTGAGAATTCTAAGATGGATTGGGAATGATCTAGGCCTGACCAGAAATATGACTGTCTCTTCCATTCTACCCGGCAGCCTCATGATCCAGACAGTCAGAGGAAACTCGGGAAGCTTACCACAAAAACTGTACAACAAGCCTCGAGTCCAACCATAATTCCCAGCTCCCCAGCTGTAAATCTCAATTCCCCAGACCAACCCCAAAGCTCACACCCCTCTGCAGGTCACACTCCAGGTCCCCAAAGCCCAGCCAACTCTCTCAAGGGCCCACCAGGGAGCCCATGCATGCTAGAACACTGGGCAGGTCCTAATCCAGCTGCGGTCCAGAAATACAAACCTGGAATTCCAGAGGCACCAAGGGACCACACTGAGAAAACTTGTCTAGAGACTTAGTGATGTAAGCAGGACCCCCAGTGAGGGATGTAGAACAGGGGAATTATAGGGTGGGAATAAAGGCAAACTTGGAAAATAAACATCATTTGTTGAATCTATTACTGATTTGGATGTTTTTTTCCTCCTGATATGGCTGCCTCTTGTAACCCATGACTAGGAGGTGGGTTGGAGGAAATAGAGCAGGAAAAAGAACACGGCAGTGGCTTGAGGTGGAACACATTTTTACAAGGACTGAGTCAGCTATCCTCCAAAAGTGACCAAGAGGAAGCTGGTCTGAACTGTAGCAAAAGAAACCTCAGGGGCGCCTGGGTGGCTCAGTCGTTAAGCGTCTGCCTTCAGCTCAGGTCATGATCTCTGGGTCCTGGGATCGAGCCCTGCATTGGGCTCCCTGCTCAGTGGGGAGTCTGCTTCTCCCTCTCCCACTCCCCCTGCTTGTGTTCCCTCTCTCACGGTGTCTCTGTCAAATAAATAAATAAAGTCTTTAAAAAAAAAGAAAGAAACCTCAAAGAACCAGTCTCTCACCCCCAGCCCCTCACTTTTCATCCTGAGCATGCACAACTACTTCTAAGTCAGAAATACGATTGTTTGGTAGAGAATGCATATGCATATCTGGAGAAGATGGAGGAAGAAAAGGGAAGGGAAGCTAGAGTAGAAGACACTATCCTTGTCTACGACTTCGTATCTGACGACAGAACACACGGGGAAGACAAACTAGAGAGAGTTATAAAAGTAAAACTCAAGCAAAAGTACATATAGAGTTTGAAAAGGGAAAACACAAAAGTGATTGGAAGTCAGAGAAGAAAAACAAAGAGAGATGGTAAGTAGAAATTTAGGGCAGAATAACAAACATGAGGACTACTGTACCCCAACCCCAATCATCCAAATGGTAGGACGCCACCAAAAAAGGGTAAGAAGTTCCTTATCCACTTCCCAGCTTTCAACATCTGCTTATCATTCTCCTATTCTGCAGGCTTCCTGCCGATGGCTGTTCAGTGTAATGCCCTTGCCAAACCCTTCCCAGCTCCAATGCCAAAGTGTTCCCTCATGAACCCCTGTCCCCCACTCCAAGGACAAGTACAGAGGACATAGGGTTTAAGCTGGAGGAAGGCTACAAAGGCTTCCCAGGCTAGCCCAGCAAGAAAGGAGATGTGATCATCACGTAAAGCAGAAGACCACTCGGGAACTGGGAGGAAGACTGTTGAGGCGGCAGGTCCCCACTGTCTTAGCTTCAGTGAGGTCTTCCTGTCCAACTGCCACCAATTACAGTCATTGCTCCTCCTCTCCAACCCACTGCTTTAACTGGCTGGCCAACAACTCAGACAAGATAGATCTGCTACCCTTGAGTTTCCAAAGACTATCAAAACAGCACTCCTGCCAAGGGAGTGAGAGATTCAAGAGGCCGGCCCATATGGATTTTAAAAGCAGCAAGCTTTCCCATTAAATTACAAATTTTTACCAGGTCTTCAACGATCCCGCCTCTCTTATCTCTGCTCTCCTTTCTCTCCCAGTCTATATACTTAGCTCATCATCCCTTAGCTGCCACCTCTACTGGTCCTCGGGCTCCCTTACTGGATCATCATTTGCTGAACTGTACCCTGAGGTTTATGAGCAGTTCTCAGTGGGATTCTGGAGCCTGTGATAATGCAAAGCTTCCACATGCTTAACCTCCTTTCTCTTGCTCCTTCCTTCTCCGAGGCCTCTGCACGATATTTCATCTCTGGCTACTTGCATTTGATTCCCTAAACACTGTTTCAACAGTTGGCCGCAGGACAAGCTGTTTCCCTCCCAAGAAAGGTCAGATTGGGGGATGTAAATGCCTGAGACCAGAGGGAGAGAGAGGAAATTGGCTCCTCCCCAACCGCCATTCTCTTGGTTTCTCTAGATTTCAAGGAGAGTCAAAGACAAAATGAGTATTTTAATTCAGTTTCAGAAACAGATGTCACATGAATTTGGATTAGAAAAGAGGCTTGTTTTTCCAGAAATGCAGGCGGGGGGGGGGGGGATAACCCTTAATAGGTTCACTGTAATCTTCTGGATCTTCCTTTTGCATTAAAAGCTATATATCTTCTCCCCAAAGCACCTGCTTTAAGAGTCAACTGACCCTCTTTATCTCCAGCTAGCTGGGACAGGCTAATTCCCCTCCACCCCCATCCCTCTTTCAGTCATACTGTGTGGGTGCTGAAGACCCTGGGCTCTGACCAATGAACACAACTGTCCTTTAAGCTAGCAACCCACAGGCAATGGCACCCAAAGCCCCATGGCAGAGGCCACAGAGCCTCCACTGTTTCCACTGTCTCAGGAAGAAGGAGCCAAAAGCTGACCGTCAGCACAAATCAAGGCCCAATATGGAGAGAGAATGAGGGCTTCCAGGCCCAGAGAAGGCTGCAAGCTGGGGGCAGGAAAAGGGAAGTTTTGAGTCATTCCATCTTTAGAAACAAGGGAGGAAACCAGACCCTCTCCCACTGCTCGGGTTCTAGGAGGTACTCTACTGTTGCTAAGCTCCGAGGGGATGTGCAAGCACAAAAGGGTCTAAATAAATCGGGAGAACTTTGTCTTGGCTGGAGAAGAGAGTGACAAACAGGAAGATAGGTCAGTGATTCATTTATGGGAAGACAATGCTGGGAACTTCAGCTCTTCACATGGCTGCCAGCCCTACAGAGGACAACACAGTAAGAACCAAGACAGCTACTCCAGACTGGTCCAGCTGGGGAATCTTCAGGCCTTTCCCTAGGTCCCACATCTGCAGAAAAAAGAAAAGAAAAAAAAGAGAAGAAAGAATTTCAGCCATCAGGGCCCTGGGTACTCTCCTTTCTGAGAAAGGAGGTCCACCTCATGGAATGGGCAACTGGTCTTGGCGTGGTTCTAGGGAAAAGCACTTCGCCTGGACCCGCCTTTCTGAAACCCACAACGTGGTACCTACCACCCACTTGTCCCAGTGACAGAAAAGGCATATATATGAAGTATAGCCCCTACGTACAAAAGCTTCCAGACTAAAGAGATCAAACTTTCCCTCCTGGAACAAAACCAAATCAATGTTTCCCAAAGTGTGTTCCTCCACAAACCAGTTCCTCAGAATGCTAAAAGGTGTTGCATGGGGGAGAAAAGTTCCATGGTCGAATAAATTTAGTAAACATTTAACTGCAAGATTTTTGAAACAATTTATTAACATACATGGTGAAGCTCCAACAGGGATATAAGATACATGGTTTCTTAGATACAGTCAACCACAGAACCACCACCACCTCCCCCCACCCCTGCCTCGGGAAGTAACATCCAGTCAGAGAACTAGAATTCTAAAAAACCCTCTGGGATCTAGACACTATTTCTCAATTTCGTTTGCCAGTATATTTACAGCACAAGTTCATGAAAGAATAAGCAATATTTACCATTAGTATGTGTGCTGCATTCTATGCATTATATGCTATTAAATTTCTGGGGTTTTTTTTTGGTTTTTTGTTTTTAAAGTAAGCTCTACACCCAATGCTGGGGGCTTAAACCCACAACCCCAAGATCAAAAGTCACACTCTCCACCAACTGAGCCAGCCAGGAGCCCCTAAATTTCTGGGTGTGTTGGTAATAACCCACTAAATTGGTTTTCTACCCACTACATCAAAAACCAGGGTTTTAAAAACACTGATCTAGCCTCTCCTGTACCCCAGGGACACTGCCGTATTATATATAATCTAAGTCACTAAAAGAACCCCTAGGGCAAAGGTAGAATTCTTAGGTTCTACACTTTCCATACTTGACTGCCCCCATATAACACAAACGCCCACACTCTGAATGTTAAACTAAATTAGGAGTACTTAAAAGTTAGAGAGAACCAGAGGGGGAGGGGGAGGGGGAGGGGGGGCGGGGGGGTGGAGAATCGAGGCTCTACTTAGATCAGATTAGGGGTCGAGCAGGTCCCCACACAGAGCTGTTTTACTTATATAGGTACAGTGTTTTACCAAAAAAAATGGAGTCCTACTGGCAGGTGGTGACGGGGGGGGGATACTCTCTAGAAGGCCAGAGACCTGGTCACTTCCCACTCTTTTCTATCAATTCCACTCCCCTCTCCCCATTAGATCTTCTGGAAAGGCAACTACCAAGCTCAGAGGGCAAGAGCTAGGACTCTCTGTCATGGAGAACAGATCAAATCCTGTCCCATACTCAAGAGCCAGTACTTTCTACAAGAAAAAAATAAAAGCAGATTTAAGGGGTAAGAAAAGCCTTTAGGCTCCTCACTTCTCTCAACGAAGAGCTTACCATTACAGGCAGGAACCAGGGCAGAAAAACCTTGACTGAGTTCTGAGATTTTACAAAACCTCTTCCCTTTCCCTCCCCACATACTGAGACAAAAGCAAATATGTGGTAAGTTCTGCTAGAGTCCGGATGTGAACAGAGGAAGCTGATCAGCTGATTTCATTAGAGAGATTGGTTCTGTGGAATAAGAAGTCATTAATGGAAATGCCCTCCTTCTCTATCCCCTCCCGAAGGGAAGTGAATTCATTGTGAATCAAACTGAACACTGCCCCAGGGAACAGTTGATAGATACACTTAATAGGTCATTTAGTCTCTCCCTTTTCTGATTCCATTAAACTGTCTATTGGACCAGATTGAAATTCAGAGAGTGTGTGCCTCTAGATTCTGATGTGGAAATTATAAAGGTCAGATTAAGGCAAGAATATCCATCTGACAGATGGCTCAGGTTAGGAAGGAACTGGAAGACAAGAAAGAATGGAATCATAATTGTCTTCCTGGGAAAGAAAGCAATACTAGGGGTAGGGAGACCACAAAACATGAAATCCTAAAATGTTGGAGGAGGGACTGATCTCTGACCTGG